GAAAGATCAAATACTGGACATGCCTAAATTGACTCTCTGACTTCTTATCCATTTGACTTGTATAATTTTAGGTCAGGTCAGTTATATACATTTATTACTTAAGTACACAAGAATTTTATATCACAGTGAACCAGAATAAAAACTCAGGAGGGGCGACAATCCATAACACAACCTTTAGTAACATAGGGTTCATTGTAATAGTAAAACAGAAGGATTGGTCTTTTGGTCATTATTAATAGAGATAAAAAGGTTGCATAAGATTCCATCTCCCTTGCTTGATTTCATCAAGTCCTCCATCCCTCTAGCCACGATAATATGGAAGGTTTTGAAGCATATATTCATAGGATTCTTGTTTTATCAGAGGGCCAGATATCCATAACTGTACTGTGGAGGACCATCCAAACCCCCATAACTATGAAAGGCTAGCCAAAGATGTATTGTACAGAGATAAAGCAAGGAATCAGTGGAAAAATGTCTAGCTTATATCCTTTTTATCTAGCTTGCAGTTTTAGAAACATCTAGAGCTAGAAAGCCAACTTTGGTTGCTTCTTAGCTCATTGCGTCAATGCTCTTTCTAGGTTAGTCATCGTTCTTTCTAGCTTAGGGAGCAGTCAAAGTTTCACAGCCTCAGGGAATTAACCCTTCCTAGTCGGTTTGTTTTTAGTGCTACAGGAATTACTTGTAGGTTTTCTCAATCTGTGATCTAGCTACATTAAAGAAATGGACAAGAAACGAAGGGGATGAGATGCTAAAAACATCTTTTTCTTTCTTTCTTCTTCCTCCTCTCTCTCTCATGTAGAAAAGATATAAATAAATTCGGTCACCTAAAGTGAGGAAGTCAATAAATACTAAAAAAGAAAAAGATTGTAATTATCTTCCATAAAAAAAGGTTGAATGAGAATCATCAAAAAATTAAGAATACTATTTTTATTCTGAACTTCCGAGTTAGTCAATACAAATATGTTCGATTCTTTGTCAATTTAGCATAACTTATTGGATATAAGATATCGATTACTATTCCAGGTCAGTAATAATCCCTCATCTTGATTGTTGAATGAATAAAATATGCTTGATTCTTTTAATATTCAACCGTCAACAAACTGCTGAAAGGGCACATATAATGATAAGGAATGACTCCAAGGGAAAGTAATATTTGTATTACCTTGTTGATCGCTTGTTTGTGATTTGAATTACTCTACAAGCAAGAATGATTATGTTAAGCTTGAATGATTCTAAACATGCAACTAAAGTACATAGAATTGCAAAGAAACTTGGCCATTATCTAAAGGAAAGCACAAATTCTATTTTATTACATTATCCAAGTCTAGTTTACAAAGACAACATATACAACTTTATATAGCTTCAAAAATGAAAACTCTTAACGTTTCGTGAGGCATTTTAAGAGTTATAACATTCATACTTTATGACTATAATTAGCTACGATACGATTAAATGTAACCTTAAAGTAAATAAAAAAATTTTAAAATCTACTAATGAAATGCAATAGCTCTAGATTATCATCCACCCAAAATTTGTAAACATCCAAGAATCTTTCTCGAAGTTTATATTGCATGATTGAGATGTCTTGGTATATATCATATCAAAAAATTATTCTACTAGCAACACCATATGCTATTGCAAGAAGAAAAAGCTTCTTTAAAAAGACAGTTTGAAAGATATCACTGGCTTGTTGTACACTAGGCAGTTCTTATTTATTTATTTATATATATTTTTAAAATATCTATTGCACTGGTTGCTCCTTGCAGGTTTACTCAATCCGTGATGCAGCTGCAAATAATTTGAAGCGCCTTGCAGAAGAATTTGGTCCTGAGTGGGCAATGCAGCACATTGTCCCACAGGTTTGTTTCGTATGAATTTCACAATCTCATATAGGCTGACCTAGATGATAGACAGACGTTTTCTTTTAAACAATTTCTTATATTTATATCACTTTATTTGGACAATAACACCGAGAAGGGTGATCATAGAAAAATTTTCCTTTCCCTGTTTGGATGAGAAATTAATATGAGCCGTCTGAAGAAAAGGGAAAATAGTATATTAATGGCCTAGCCCCTACCAGAGGGGATATAAAAGTTTATCCAATTGGGTTGAGTCGTCAGGGTAGAACACCATCCGGAGGTCATGGAGAAAAATATTTCGCTAACTAACATTTCTAGAAATTCTTTTCGCCCTGCCTTCTGCACACAATCTATGCACTTTGTATTCCACTAACTGAATTGGCGTTTCACAAACAGGTTCTTGACATGATTAACAACCCACACTATTTGTATCGAATGACTGTTCTTCGTGCGGTCTCTCTTCTTGCCCCAGTTATGGGCTCAGAAATCACATGCTCAAAGCTTTTACCAGTGGTTATCAGTTCTTCCAAGGATAGGTACATGTCATAAATTTGTTAATGAAACTGATGTTATAATTTTTACCAGTGGTTATCAGTTCTCGATAAAAATGAATTGTGGGTGTTAGCACAGTTGGCTTGTGTCCCTTGTTTTGGCTCTTCTTCGGTGATTAATTTTAGTTTTTGCAGGGTTCCAAATATCAAGTTTAATGTGGCGAAGGTGTTGCAGTCTCTCATTCCCATAGTTGACCAACCTGTAAGTAGTTTTGTGAAACTTTATGTGTTTATGCCTTTTTCGTTCCAACTGATTTCATTTGATGTCCTTTTGTCTATTTTAGTTTCTTTCTCAATGTTCGTTGTAATATTGGATAATGCTTGGAACGCAGGTGGTGGAAAAAACTATCCGTCCTAGTCTAGTTGAACTGAGTGAGGATCCAGATGTAGATGTCCGGTTCTTTGCTAACCAAGCTCTTCAATCAATTGATCACGTGATGATGTCTAGTTAGACGGGATTCCATATCCACGATGAACATCTGTACGAAAGGTGCTTTTGCAGAAGTTGCTATTGTTTTTATCCGAAATAGCTGTATGTTTCTTCCCCCCGTTGGTTGTTGTAGTGCAGTTCTAGCGTGCAGAGCGAGCCATTCAAGACTTCTGGGTTTTACTCAGTTGATCATTTGTGGATGATGATTGAGTAGAGTCTTCATGCTTTCTATTCTTCTGCATAATCTAATATTCTTTCTTCATTTGTCTTTTTTCCAACAATTGGCTCAGAATTTGTTGGATGTTGAACTGGGGGGGAGGGGGTGGTATGAAGTCTCCATTTGTAACTATACTTTTTTTGATTGCCAACCCTCAGTCTCTACTGTAATAGTTATCAATTTGTATTAATTATTATTGACTGACTTCACTAAGATTCCCAAAGTAAATGGGTTCATATATCGACATAGATTCTGCTTGTTGACGTATTTGCAGAATTTATATACCTGGGAGCCATGTAAGCCAGGAAGCAGCCATGTAAGCCAACCTTGAAAGCTTTTATACTGGTAAGAAGTAGATTGTTTGAGGCAAACAACTCACAACTTTGGTATAATGTTAGTTATCTTTATAAGTTGTTTATTCTGTTGTATCGGTCATGTTATTCACATACTCCAAATTGCCCAGTGGAGCTATTCAAACCAGAGTTCAAATCAAATGCAATATTCAATGTACAGTGTTAATTAAAACCATTGTCCAACTCCAGCAATACTAATTGACAATCAACGTGGCCGAACTTTTACTTTTTGTTTGACCATTGTGACAGTATTAAAACGTTTAAAACCCATAGATGATGTTTAGTGAAATAAGAAAAACAATGGTATTATAAAACAGGTCAAGAATTGCGATATTAAGCCTGTTAGTTTGAAGCAGGCTAAAAATAGTTTGAAAGTGCAATTAGAAGGCCTTGTTTCTACAATTCCATACTCGAAATCTTAAATGGTATGGATATGAATTATATTTCTAAGGACACACGCTGATAGTTATAAAAAAGGATCAAAATGTGACCTTTATAGTACAAAGCATTTTATAAAGCGAAGTCTGAACTAGTAACTACAGATTACTACCTGATTAAAACCTCAAGATAATTCAAGTATTTCCTTCATAAAATTGATAGCTTCCAAGGGCATCATATTAAATAATTGATTTATCACTCGACCCAAATCTCGAACTATAAGGTGCTTGGTTGGATCAAAAGTGGTTTGGAAGCTTCTAAAGATGGGTTAATAAAAGGTAATCTAAATGCTTTTAGGGCCAACATAACTAATCTCCTATGCGACACCCAACTAGATCAAAGTAGCATTCTCACTCAATGTGAGAGAATTGGTAAGAAAAGTTAATCAGTAATTTCTGGAAAACAAATCTTGAAAATAGTTTAAAAATTACATTTGTAAGGTATGGAATTTGCAAAGACCCACTGGACCATCTCTATATAATAAATGTTTTAATTTCCAATTTTTCATATTGCAACGATATTAACACTATCTAATAGACATGTCATATAGAATTTTCAAGACTAATAAACTCACAGTTTAAAGTTCGAAAATATGACAAGATTTACCTGAGAATTAAATGGATATAACTGCAGAATTTAGGAACTCAATACATATAACCAAGGAAATTTAAGAACTAAAATTACGATTTAATCTTATCAAAACTAACAAAAAAAGATAAATGATAAAAGAAGAAGAAAAACAAAAGACGTGAAGTCTTACAATGGCTAGCTCTACACATGAAAAAAGCAAGCGCCAGGCCACCAATGTGCATCATTCAAGACTAAAAGGAATGGGGGTGAATTTGGCCCCCCAACCAATATCCATTGTCGTAAAGTTGGCACTTATCCTTTCGGGAAGTGAGGGCCCTAAATTTGTCCTTACTCTCATTTCATCATTCACCCTTAGCGTCCCATCAGCCATCCACTAATGTAGAGTCAGTCCCTCTCCCAAAGTGTAAGGTTTCTTTTCCAGTAGAGTATCTAAAAAGGCTGAGATTAGAGACGAAAAAAGGAGAGACAATTTCATTGCTGCCTTAAAAGTTTGCTGCCGAAGAAGACAAGAGAGCTTAAGAAAAGTACAGAAGAGCTCAAGAACGGTGAGTGAAATTTTTGACCAATCAGACCGATTCTTGAGAGTAGAGTCTCACTTAATAAGATTGAGGTGGCGGTTACTATGACAAGAAGAGTAGAAGTGGGCTAACTGTTCGAAACTTCTCTAAAATATTGTCTTTATCGTAAGAGCTAACTTGAGTGTTTCCCTTTCACTTCCATCTTTGAACATCCTTGAACATCTTTGAAAAATTTCCAAGGGTGTGAGTCAGGGAAGAGATAATCTATATTCACATAGGACATTCCAAATCGTGTACAGTAATCTCCTTTGAGGTATATAAGTATATATTAAGTGGGTAGTGATAAATCTGATGAGAATGCTCGCTCTCTTTTCTTTGAGGAGAAAACAAAATCTGAAAAAAGTCTTCCTTTTGTACAAATTCAACTGAAGCTATACACTTAAGAAATCCTTGATATGATCCATCATTTCAAGGGTCCGAGTTTGAGAGAGTTGTGACTTGTTCAGAACCTGAAACGCATGGCCAACTCCTTCATAGACCACATAATTGATCAGCTTACCCACTCTATGTAAAGCAGAGCAAAACTCCAAGTTCCTATCTTTCAATATGTCCATTTCTGATATACATATCAAACTAGGCAAAACCCTCAAATCCTCAACCTCAAACACCCCATTTGCCGAAGGGTTGCACCATGGATGGTCACGGTTCGCCCTGGACGGCAATGCCAACCGCCAGTACGTATCAGAAACTGCCGTCGTCAGTGGCGAATGAGGAGGTTGGACAAGAAACTTTTCTGACATGGTCCTTGACTCTCCACCGAAGAACGGCTGTATCAAAATGTTACCTTTAATAACTAACGGTTTCATGACCACAGCTCCAGAAGCAGTCGTCTTGCCACCAAGTCTGGCTGCTACATTGAAGGCTATGTTGCCACCGGCACTATCACCTCCAAGGTAGATTTTGGTAAAGTCGCAGTATCTTGACCACCAATTCTGCTTGGCCCCATTAAAGGCAACTTGTTTCAACCATTGAAGGGTCTTTAATCCGTCTTCATAAGGAGCAGGAAGAGGGTTTTCTGGAGCCAAACGATAATTCACAGACATAATTATACAGTCAGCTTTTGCAGATAGCTTGGCCAGGAACTCATGGTAGCAACTCCAAGTAGCCGAGCCGACACAAAACCCACCTCCATGGAAATATACAAGCAAAGGCAGCTTCTCCTGGCATTGTGTTGGAATGTAGAAACGAGCCCAAATGTTGTTCAGCTTATCCACAACTACATCCCAAGAAGTAACACCAAGCTCTGGTGGCAATGCATTAGAGACACTGGGAACTATCTGGGGTCTTTCCACATAACCATTTCCGTAAACTCTAATGAGGCCTTCAATCTCCTCAACCAACACAGAATGTTGATCAAACCCATTACCATGCTCTTCAAAACTTGGAATTTGATCTAGGTTAATAGGCATTCTTTTTCTCCTCATAGAACGGGGATGAAGATGAGGGTCGATGCAGAAATTAAGTTAGGAGGCTTTTGAGAGTGTATAATTGGTTATGGACGGAAGTATGAACTTCTGATGTTCCTTATATAGATGATGAAAAGATGTCTTGTGGTATGACGTGGACACCTATTCTATCAAGTTGGGGCTCGGGGGGGGGGGGGGGGGG